GTGAAATAAAAAATTGTTGCTAAATACAGAATTTGCAACTACTTAGATTTACTCAGCGACAGTGACATCTGTCGGTACTACGTTGAATTTTTTTTCAGTATTGAACAATCGTTCGATCGTAGTTGACGTATTTCAGTGTACTCGATGATTCTAACCTCAAAAAAAATGATTTGTCATGTCGTTCTTATCAATTAACGTTTTATAGTTCGCGCGTTGTAGAATTAATCTATAGCCAACCCTCTCACAAACAACAATGGTATACACGGTATTCAAGTTTCTCATTATTAAACTAGATTAAGTTCTGTAACAGCTAATGTTTATTTAGTAAATATCACATCTCTCTTCAAGAAACAGGAGCTAATCCTTTTTATCCTTACTTTATTATTTAATTTGTGATAATTTTTATATATTTTTGCTTATTTTATCAATAATTTAATAATTATCAAATTTTAAATGTATGATAATCATATGTAGTTTGAAAATACATATAAATAAATATAAGTTAATTTATTTTATATTAATTTTATTAACTACATTTTATTAGTTACATATTTGTGATAATTATGCCATAATGTTTGATATATTTTTAGCCTCTTTTGGATAACAGTCCAGCAAGAGTGCCGGCCAATCATGGCACTACTAAATACAGCAAATTAGAAAATGAAATAGACAGTCCAAACAGACAGTTTCTTAGTGATACAATGCAGCAGCAAAATGCTATGATAAGACAACAGGATGAACAATTAGATATGATTGGAGAAACGGTTGGTACATTAAAAACAGTATCCAGACAAATCAACAGTGAACTGGATGAACAAGCTGTGTAAGAAAGTATTTCTTTATAATTGTTTAAAAAATTATATACAGAAAATATTAATATCATAAAATTTTATTTATTGTTATTCTTGTAATTAAAATATTAGAAATTACACATTGATATATTGATAATAATGAAATAATTTTCAGTTATTTATATATTAATTATTAGTATTATATTTTTAAAAGATAAGTCAAGATAAGTTTCTTATAGGATGTTGGATGAATTTGGGAATGAGTTAGAGACGACAGACTCCAAGTTGGATGCTACCATGAAAAAGATGGCCAAGGTGCTGCACATGAGTAATGGTAACTATAACAATTACATTCCCGCTCCTACTACCCCAGTGACATCCAGTGTCACTGATCTTGTCTCCGACAACAAACCCTCTTCTCTTTCCTCTTTGTCCACCACAATTGCCAATTGTTTTTTGTGTTCCAGTGATTAATTGTTGTATTAATTGTCCTGCGCCTTTAAATAATTCAAATGTACCAGTAAAAAATATTGTAACTATATCATAGAATATATTTTCATATAATTTCGATGATTTGATTTGAAAATATAAAATAAGTATGTAAAAATATACATACACACATACATATAAATAATGCTTCTGAAAAATCACAGTATTTTTTAATGGTGCCATTGAATAATTCTTTAATAATTCAACTGTTCCTTAAAACATTGTTTAGCTGCAGAGAATGATTATTTAAAATTTGAAAAGTACATTTAATTTCTATAAAAATTTATAGCGCAAAGTTGTGTTTTATGTAACAAGTACAATTTAGAAATGTTTAGAAATTTAAAAGTCTTACAACAATCTCTCATTACATTAGAAAAATATCATTCTAAATTTAAAAAAGCTATTGTTGAAAAAAGAGAGGTGTACATGGAGATAGCCTATATATAATGTATGTAATATATTATTGCAAAATTAACTGTTGTATAATCTGGACTAATATCTATTTTTAGGAAATTATTTACTAAATTATATTTAAATTATTTTAAAGAAACTACATTATTTTTTGTCATTGTATTATTTTGTATCATTAACTATATTAGTAATTAAATATTAAATTTTATTTTCTTTCTATTTTAATTTAATATTTTTTAAATTATTTTAATAAAAATAATTTTATTAAAGTAATTTCTTTATAATTTTAAAAATTAAAAAAATAAATTTTTAACACATTTAAATAATCAACTTGTTAATTAATAATTAATATTAATAGCAAATGATAATTTTTAACAAGTAATATCTAATAATTTGATATTCAAAGAATTTTTTTAATTTTAATTAAAAATAATTTAAAGAATATTTAGTAAATAATTGACTATTCTTATAAATAATTAGTGTTAATAAAAAGTGATTTAAAAAAATAATCTAAATCTTTATTAACATTTTATTATTTTGGAATATATCAATCATTTTGGATTTTTGTTATTTCCTTTTCACTAATTATGACTAGCACTAATTGTAAGTAGAAATAAAATAAAAAATAAGAAAATAAAATAAGAAAATTAAAATTCTTTAATTAGATGCTGATGAATAGTATTTTATAGCATAGATTATGGTAGATAAATATATTATATCGGCCGATGTAAATTTTAGAGAAAAAGTATTAAAATATACAAGACCTAATTAATTTGCATTATTGCTATGTAAATTTACGTAGTTTGTTATAATTATCAAAGAGATATTGAGCCCTCTTTTGACAAATGTGAGTGTAGTATCAAAATCAGGACGAACCAGTTAGATCTCCGAGGGATTATTGTGTATTTAGTAGTGAATTTAGTATTATATATTGCAAAATAGTACGGTTATTCAACATAAACTTAAGCACACTGAAGAAACAGGATAATCTCGAAAGCTATATATTTTAGTTGTTGTTGTTGTGCCTGTTGAGAAACTTGAAAAAATAAATAAATATATAATTTAGTAAAAGATAAGAATTCGACATGATATTTAAAACAAATACAAAATATAAAAAAAGATTATAAAGAATTTAAATTGCCAACAATAAAATATCTAGATATGCACAAAAGCTGGTTTTAAAGATTGGAATCCTTTTCCTAAAACAAAGAATTAAAAAAGCTCAAAGATAAAATAGCAACAATTTTAAAATAAAAAAATGTATATAATGTTGCAAGTTTAAGAAATTCAATATTCCTAGAGATCTAAAAATAAATAGAAATATAAATAAAATAATAATCGAAGAATTTAAGATTTTTTAAATATCAGGAAATGAAACAATTGAAAACTTAAATTTAGAAATTTAATGATTAAATTAAATAATTAGATCAATTTTAGAATAAAAATCTAAAAAAAAACAGGAATCTTGTGTAATTTATTTCATGAGAGATTATCTTGAACTGAAATACAACTTTTCTTCATAGTCAGAGTGAGAAATTTTCAAAGTTGAAAAGAAATATAGAATGCATATTAATAAAAGAAAATATGTTAAAATACACATACATATGTAATAACAATTATACATATTTTTCTTTGTTGGAGAAGTCAGTTCGCGTATAAGACAGTTAATATATCCATGTGAATTAAGAAGAATATAGATTGTAAATGTAATGTTTCGAATGAAAGACGTAGTTTTATTGTTATCTCTTTCTCGTCGACGACCAATTGTGAAAAAAGAAAAAAATAGAATACAGTGACGAATAAAACAAAAGAACCAATTGTGAGCTATAAACAACTGTAAATATTCCTGCTTCCTTGATTTTTTAAAATTGATATCTATTGATATCAATTTCTCACGAAATTATCTACTTATCTATTTATATCTAGTCAAATATCCAAAAAAATTCTATAAATTTTTTAAATATAGTGTATAAAAAGATGCACTAATAAAATTAATGGTAATAACATATGTGTAACAATAAATATTATGTTTCTAAAAGATTTTTTTGACATTTTCAATAAATCTTATCATATAATTTCGTGAGTAATTATATAAATATTATAATTGAGAGATCTCTCTTTTAAAGATTATATTATATTAGTATAAATTTAATTTTACTTCCTATAATTTCATCGTATTTAAAATCAAATAAAAAATGTTTGCTATGTTTTGTGAGCAAACTTAGGGAAAATAATCAAAAAGTATATCAGAATTTCGATGATTTTCTATTGTCAGGATATTGTACCCTTAATTATGACACGATAAAAACATTTTCAATCTGATCTCGTAAATGATTCGCATCTCGTAAGAATCTCGAGTGACGCATGTGATATTACTTTCCGTTTGTTTTAGATCGGAGACAATGGGTAGCCATTGGAGTGTTGACTGCTATATTGGTGTTTTTAATCATTTTATTCATAATTAAATGAATCACCTATCGTCTCTTCTAACTTCTTCCCCTTTTGCTCTTTTCCTATGATAAAGATTCTCTTTGTAGCTTTAAGTATAATCTAAGTCCGTTTGACCTATTAATGATAGTGAAATTTTATGAATAATAGAAATAAATACAGAGTTATTATAATAATCTATTAATCTTTCCCCTTAATTGTCCCCCACTTACTTAATAATAAACGCAGTAGTATTTTTTTTATAAATTCTACAAATATATATTCAATAAAATATATAAACTATTTAAGTATTCATATACATAAAGTTGTGTAATATGAAATATATTAAAATTGTTTCTTCAAACAAAAATGTTTCCAATCATGGATATTCTTTGTTTGGAAGATAAGAATATATAATAATTTACAAAGTTGATCAAGCGTTTTGACAATTTTTAAACATTTTTAGATATGTATGTTTAAGAAATTTATTTTTTCAATAATATGCATTAAGTTATAAAACATTTGATCAATTTTTTTTAATAACTACGAAAAATATACAAATTATTACAAATATACAAAGATAATGAATTAAAATAATGAATGTTGTGCATTCTTTGAAAACTTATTCTTCTATATGACATAATAAGATAATATTCACTATAATTATTTTCGAAATATTTATTGTCTTCAAACGTTACAACTTGTAGGACGCTCTCATATAAAAATGCTCTTATTTTTTTATCTATTTTATTTATATAAAAATATAATTCACACACATGAGCCATAAATTTTGATTATTTGCATGATTAGGAATTCTAAAATTTAATGATATAGACAATAGTTAATAATAAAATACTATATGTGATAATTGTAATTCTAAACTGTATGTATGTGTGTGTGTGTGTGTGTGTGTGTGTGTGTGTATGTATATATATATATATATATATATATATAATATATATGTATATATGTATGTATACATACACATACATATACACAATTATACATATATTCCATGTAATGTTTTTCAACAAGCATTACAGAAAAAAATATTTTTCTTCACAATATTTTTATGATTATATTGTCTTATTATTTTAGAAAATAATTTTATTACTTTAATTATTTTGATTACTCATTACATATTCTCTTTTTCATTTTCGCTATATCGTAAAGGCCAAAGAACTTATAAGATTAATATAATTGCTTTCTTAAACCCTATACCATTGCAAATAATGTACTAACATACATTGACATGGCAGTTATATGTTATGAATGTATACAGATCTATATACATATTTATACATGATTAGTAATCATAACAAATATAATAAAATAAAAAGAGAGAAATGCAGATTGAATGATAAGTGATAGAGCCAAACGTATGTAGTACTATAAAAAAAAATCTTTGGTATGAAATGTTTATTGCCACCGAGTGCATATTATATATTTATGCACGAAATTCATCTCTAGCCCAACATGCAAAATGCCTTTTAATTGTTACGTACGTATTTAAGAAACTTGCCGTTTAGAATTATAAAAGTTTATTTGTTTGCATAAAGATATGTATCAAAAGTTTATTAATTAATTGTTAATAATAAACTTGAATCAAAAACTTTATCAGTAAAAAATTCTCTAAAAAAGTTCTAAGTTATTGTATAAATTTGTTCAAAATTATTAAATAGATTTTTTTTTTAAACTTGAAGATATATTGTAAGAACTTATCGCCTTTAAGTAAAAATTTTTATCTATATCTTATTATTTAAGAAATCTTTCTAAAAAATGGCAGTTTTAACTATTTGAAAAAGATCATCTAAAAAATTTAAAGATCCTCGAGCCTTAATGTTAAGGATACACGGGACTTTAAATGATTTATATAGCTTATAATATATTTTTAAAAAATGACGGAAAAATAGATAAAACGTGAAAAAATAAATTTTAAGGCTCAAGACGGACGCGTTGATAACAATCAGTTGGCAAAGCCTTTCGAATATCATCGATATTTTCTACTTCGATTCGTAATCTGCTGACCTCATCTTCGTAATTTTTAACCCATTGCGTTTGCAAATTCTTTGCCTCCGTCAACGCGCGAATTCGCTGATCCAGATTTGCGGCTTTGATTTCCTTCTCAGCGGCAATCAAGCGTTCTTCTAAGCGATTCAAATCGGCATCATCTAAATTGCAAAATCAGTTATTTTTTATAACAAAAAAAGTGATCGAATTTGACTTCGCAATAACTGCTAGTAAATACTCGGTATTTATAATTACACATTATGAGAACACAAAATCTAGAATAAGCTTTTATATGTATAAAGGATAGACGAATTTAAAGTTCAAAGGACAACAGATCGTAGAGATATGAACTCACCTATTTCTGGTAGATTCTCAAGCTCCCTAATAATCGCGTCTACTTCAGATAACGCTTTATCGACTTGCTGTGACGCCAGGGTCACATCGGTCCTCGCCTGACCAACCTTATAGTTTGCCTAAAAATTAAAATTTTAGATATTACAATTTGCTGTAAATGCAATAATCTTAATGCATTAAAATATCACGAAATATTTCGTGTTTCTTATTAGCGTGTCTGATCCGTAATGTATTAAATAAATAACATCTAAATTAAAAAAAAATAGCTTCTTCTATTGATTAATAATTTATTTTTTATTTTTCCTTCTCTTCTATATTTAATTTAATTAAATTTTTACCTCGGCGGTGATGTTGCCATCCTTGGCCATCTGGACTTCATATTGTCTGATCATCGAATCCGTAGTATCAACGCGAAGATGTAATTTCTCGGCTTCATTTCCGAGCCGGAGAGCTTCAATTTTAGTTTTATTCGCTTCTACTCTAATATCGTTTGCGTTAGCGCTCGCTCTATCTGCATAAGTCTATAACGATAAATAATTTATGCATAGCATAATAATAGACAATATATATAAAATATATATAAAATATATATAAAAATATACAATATATATAAAAATAAACATTAATAAATATAAAAAATAAAACGTATAGGAGATACATATATGAGATTGTCATATTTTAGTAAAAAATAAAAGTTTAATAACTATTTTAATAATAACTATTGTATAATGAATATTTGTTATTAAAATTAATTTGTAATTAATTTGAGTAACCTTACCTGAGCATTCTGTGCAATTTCGCGCGCACTTTTGGCGTTACCTTCTGATCCATTTAGCACCCTCTCCGCCTCTCTAGCTTGTATATTAGCATCGTTGATCAAGCTCTCAATTTCCTGGATGTCTTTCAAAGCATTCTGAGCTTTAATACGTTCACGTTGTACCTCAGCATCAAATTCTAAAAAACAACATAAAAATTAAATAAATTCTTATAGAAATTTTTTATATAAAGGAATTTTAAAAACAAGTCATGAGTTTTTCCGTTTTTTTTAAATTTCATTTAATGAAGTTTTTTTAAATTTACCCCCTAATTTTTTCAATGTTTCCTGAGCTTCTTTTAGAGTCTGATCACCACGTTTGACAGCATCATTCGCCGTCTCATTGGCTTCATCTAACTCAGCTAGTAATTCGGCCGTTGCAGCTTGTTGATCTTGAGCTCTGTCTAAAAGTTCTTCACTCTTCCTAACTTTTTCAGCCATTTCTTCCATAAGATTCTCATTTTGCTCCAATAAGAGTTGTGCTTGCTCTTTTATTTGTAAGCTCTATTTTGTAACATAGTTTGAGTATTAGAGTTAGTGATATAAATATATATATTTATATATTTTTATATATTTATATATTTTTTTGTAATTTGTATATTTATAATTACCATATTGCTGACGTTTTCTATTTGCTGTCGTAATTCCTCAATATCTACTGAAGGAAGCGTTAAATCGAGAATTAGCAAATCTAATGCTTCTTGAGAAACAGCTGAGGATTTAGTAGCTGCAATAGCGGTGAGATTTTTTACTTCATCCATACGATCCTCTAATTGCTCCAATTTATTCTCCAAATCTCTTATTTCGTCCCTGTTTAAATTTGTTTACAGATATTGTATGTGACTTAAATATTAAATAATAAAATTATACAGAAAGAGAAATATTACTCACGTTATATTAGAATATTTCGATATCGTTTGTTTTGCAAGATTATATGCCTCCAATGTCGTGTTTCGCGCTTGCTCTGCTAGCATATGAAGCTTTTTGGCTTCATTAGTATTTCTAAAAAAAAATGAAATCTCAATATTGATAAATAATATCATAAAAAATTGAAATGTTTTAGAAAGAATCTGAGAAATTTATTTAATAATAATTTAATAATTATTTATTTTTTATCTCTAGGTAGATTTTTAAAAGATAAAGAATTGTTATTATTGATATATGTAATAAAATAAAAATTAGAGGAAAATTAGAAGAATCAAGAATTAAATATTAATTAATGTTAATTCATACAAAAAGATTAAATTTTATATAAAAAATGTTATAAGAATTATTAATGAAATAAATTGAAAATTTATATATTTATAACATTTATAATTTAAATTCAAAATACATACAATTCAGCGACTACACGCGCCTCCTGTGCAATTGACGTCATCTGCTGATTCTGTTGACCGACTTGATCGGCACGCAATTTCGCTGAAGTTAAAGCACTTGCACCCTCCGTACCTAAATAATCTTCCGCTTCCTATCGTTTTATCAAAATAATATAAAACTATAATTTAGTAATAGCTATAATTTAATAATTCACAAGTATAACCATTATTCATGAAATTACAATCTAATGTTTTGAAAATTATATGTTGTTTTTTTAAAAAAAAAAAGAATTTTGTAACACATGTTATCAAATATCTCTAAAGTAATTTTTTAAAAATCTTATGATGATCAACATCTAAATCATTATAAATAATAGAAGTTTTATTTACCGTTAACTGCTCATAAATTTTATCCAAAACTTTTTCTGCCTCGTCAATACTCGTCAAACCTTCTTCGATTATATCATGTGCATCATCCTCAGTTACATCCACAGTTTGATATATTTTATCAATTGTATTCAATTGTTCACGCAGCTCATCTAGTTGTTCTACCAATGTTTTGTTCTCACCTGACAAAAATATTAGCTTTTACAATAATAATATAAAATAAAATAGCAATGTTAAACTTGTCATTATAAAAAATAATTTTAATATTATGATTAGATATATTATAATTATTACTATTACTAAGTAATAATAGTAATTTGAATGTGTATGAATAGAAAATTATATAAAAATATCATTTGTCCAACGAGTTTTGAATGATTTTTGATTATCTAACCTTAAATATATAATAATTATTTAATTTTTAACATAATATACAAATAAATAATTTTAGATAACTATAATAATAATATTTACTGCCGGATCCTTGTTTGGCGATATTTAATAATGCTTTTACTCTATCCTGGACATTCTTAAGCTCCTTTTCGAAGTCTGAATCTTTAATGACAGTAGGACTGCTATTGATCTTGTATAAAGTATCTTCGAGTTCGGCCAAACGTGATCGGTGATCATTGACTGCCGACTGTACAAGATTGTAACAATCAGGACAATCGACGCAGCCGTGTTGTCGATTATGCTTGTTTTCTTTACAACGATCACAACGTCTGCCTTCAACGTTCGTTAAGCACTATCAAATCATAAAAGATAAAAAAGCAAATTTATTATAAAAATCCAAAAAATAATGTATATAAAATTTTTATGTAATAGCTCTACAGTTGGCTTGATTTATCGTCATAATTTCACAAGTAATTATAAATGTTATTTTAATTTAAATCCTTATAATTTCATTATAAAATTATTTACACAAAATATTTAATTTTGGTATAGATACTTACAGGGCATTGTCCATTTGCATCACATTGAAGATCTTGGGAACCAATACTGTCACAATCACAAGGTTTGCAACCTTCGCGACTGAATCCATACTGATAAGGCTCACAGGCATCACAATGTTGACCCGTTATTCCAATTCGGCATTGACATTGTCCTGTTATTGGATCACAGGTACGATTATAAGAACCTTCAAGATCGCAATTACAAGGTGTGCAGCCCTACAATACAAAAATATATTTTTTATTGAGGCAATTTAAAAATATTATCAATTTATTATATCAATTATTATTAAACTATAATAATTTTTATTTTCTATTTTATAAGGAGATAATAGAATTGCGAAATATTAAAGATGTAACTCATATGGTATTTCTCAATTTCTATCTCTTTGTTAATTTGTCGGCTTTACCTCGCCACTCATGATGTGATAATAGCCTTCCTCACACTTGTCGCAATTGCGACCAACAACATGTGGCTTGCAAGCACAATGTCCTGTTAGTTGGTCGCAAGGCGCAACTCTTCCATCATCAAGTTCCAAAGTACCCGGTGGATAACATTGACATAATTTACATCCATCTTCTTTGCGATCTGACAATGCATCTCCGTAATATCCTAATATATAAAACATAATAATATAAAATATAATGCTAAAATGTAATGTTAATCTCGTTTTAAAAATTAATAATTTCAAGTTATATATTTACCGGCAAGACATTCTTCACAGTGAAAGCCCGCTGTATTATTAACACATTTAAGACATTCTCCCGTTTCGTGATTACAATTTCTAACCGCATTTAAGTCGATATTGTTATTACAATCGCAAGGATGACAAGCGAGACCTCTTTCAGGATTCCCGTAATAACCATCAGAACATGTTTCACATCTAGGTCCTATAATAATGAATCTCATACAGATTTAGTCAATCAAAAAAAATAAAAGAAAATGACAATATCAATTAATTGAATTCTTAATTATCATAAATGTTATTACACACACGCGCGCGTGTGCAGTACTTGAAGTATTTATTTAGAAATGTATATTTACCAGTCCTGCCGATAGGACATTCAGAGCAAATGGGATCCGGATTGTTGCCCAGAAGAATGCAAGGTCCGTTATCGGGACAAGGACATGATCTGCAATCATCCGGAGTGCCTTTCAACGGATAACCATAATATCCTCTGCTACATAACTCGCAATTACTTCCTGCAGTATTATGTTGACAGATACATTGTCCTAAAATACAAAAAGAGAATTTGAGATATTATTTGAAACTATCTTGACTGAAGTTATTTTACCTTTATAGTTCACTTTGATTTGTCTACGAAATTTTTATAAGATAATAAAATCTAAATACCAGTCTCGGCCTCGCAAATATCGGCGTGCCCATTGCAGTTGCAAGGGACACACAGAGCAAAAGGACCGCCGTTGGGTGGGTCGTGATGAAATCCAGGTGCGCATGATTCACAAAATTGACCTACGTAACCATGAGGACATTGACAATGCTCGACCCAATCAGCTGGTTCGCCGGCTGCGCCACGATGAGCTGTCTCTAACTTCACATCATCCAAAAATCCTCGTCCTTGATGAGTGTAAGTCCCGCGAATCTTTATGGCGGTCAAATTTGACAGAATCGACATGAAGGCACGAAAGGATAATCGTGGTTGCCAGCCATAGCTGGAGTGCTCGTGTAATTTAAATCGATATTCTTGAGGCTGCAAAGATCAAATAATCACAGTAATGTAATATTACAAAAAATAAAATAGGATTAAAAACTTACCGTAACAGTCGGTAAACGATTACTCTGACCAAAGATCGGCTGTGTGATCTGTTCGCCGTTTCCTCCCTCTAAAATTACATCCCGTGCTGTAGGAGCTGGACCAGTTTCTCCTATCCTCAGTATGAATGATAAGTCTTGATTGTACGACGCTCTCTGATCTCCCAGGAATCTGTCGGGTGCGAGGAAGTACACATTGTCACGGTCGAGTGCGGTAACTGAGATCGTCTGCGTCAATGCATCATAATGCAATGGTATCGGGTTACCGGCCACAGACGCGGACCAGCGCTCGTTTCCTCGCACGAACATACTTTCAATGAGCAGTTTCGAATAACCGGTTGCTGGTCGGCAAACAGAGGAATGACCATAGCAAAAACAGGGGGTACAGCCGAATTCGTTGTCCACTGCCAAATTAAAGAAACCTGGACGACACCTAATGAATTTTGGCATTCAATTAATCTCAATTTTTGAAGAACAGAAAATTAAAAAAAAAACATAATTAAATAGAATTAAATAAAAAAATTAATCTCAAACTGATCAAAAAATCATTATTAAAAAATAATATGCAAGAAATTCTGTATAATCTAAGTACAAATATTTCAATCAATTTTTAGTAATAAGGTATAAGATATTAATGCATTAAAGCATGGATTAATATTCTTCTTTAAAAAGAATATTTGATTGAATAGAAAGACTAACTCTCTGCAACGTTTTCCTTCGACGTTTTCCTTACAGGCGCAAACTCCTGTGATAGAATCGCAGCTAAGAATGTTGCCTGTCGAACCTGCCAAGCTGCACTCGCAGGAAGTACAGCCCTGCGAGCCGAAATTATAGAAATTGGCCGCGCAACGATCGCATTTATCACCTGTTACACCAGGTTTACATTGGCATTTACCTTCGCTATTACATTGCAAGCTTCTTGAACCTGCACAATTTAATATATTTTAGTTTATTATCTTTTAGTTTATTATCATAAGAAAATGTAATCTAGTTTATAATTATACTTATTTAATGTGTATTATTTAAAATTCTTACCAATCTCGTTACAATTGCATGCAATACAATAGTTATCCTCAGGTCGCTGATAGTAATTTTCGCGACACCGCTCGCAATTGGCGCCATCGCGATTCGCTCGACAATCCAAGCAATGACCTCCGTGACCTATCGCCTTGTATAGTTCCTTGTCAAAGTAGCATCTTTCCGAATATCCGTTACAATTGCAAGCTGCAAAAAATAATGGGTGATTGAATTAACAGATTAATAATTTTTAAATATGAAAAAGACAAATACCAAATACGTCCTTATCATAAAATATTCTGTAAAAATAAACGTTTAGTTAATAAAGATTTCAATATTAAATAGTAAAAATTTATTATATAAAAAAACTTATATCACGAAAAGCAGATATATTAATCATCAAATAAACAATGAATCTAATTATCCTATTTATTTAATCTTGTAATAACTTAACTGAAGTTCAAATATTATACAAAGACATATATAAATATCATTTAAAATAATGTAATATCATATGTTATTAACATATCTAAATTATAAATAATTATAAATAATTTTATATGTATGTAAACAATTACTGGATCTTGAATACCAAAGTCGTCTTTCATCCCATGATGTGCATAGCAGTATGCAATCCGCTATTATTAACAACGCGAGTAATTTCATTTTTTCAACATAAGAACATTCACAGTAGTTACCACATCATAATTTTATTATTGTTTATCAATTCACTATTATAATTTAGTTATTCAATATACGTTAGTATATTCTTGTTATTTCAATCACACATCTTAGATTATTATCACTTTAGACTTTACAGTCCATTGCAAATACTTTCTTAATAGTTTCCTAGACATTTTTCGAAAATCTAATTTTTATCATATTTTATTACACTAAGTTTCGAGAATTCTTTAGTGGATAGATATATATATCTTTTAGTGTGATATCGTGGTACACCGAATACAGACAAAAGTGCATTGAACGGCCATGTACCTTCCCCACAAGTCATGCATCCCCACTTAAGAGAGCGGGAGATGCACGTAAAAGGTAAAGCTGGTATCAAGTAATACTGGCAAAGATGCAGTCGCTTATGGTCTTTGTAACACGCAACCGTGCTCCCCATTGGATACGTATCGCGTTGTAAAAAAAAAACAAGTCCGCGGTATATTTTTTTGTAAATAAGTACAATTATTTTAAAAGAACATTGCAAATAAAATTTTACAATAGTATTAAATTAAAAATAAAACAAATTATTTATATGATTAAGTGGCTTTTGGTAATTGATTCCGTTATACGTAGTATATATTATACATATTTTATAATTAAAAGATAGAAATACAAAAGCTGACAATTACATTTTTCATAACTATAGTATCTTTTTCTACTCAGTTTTATTTTGTGTATTTTTTCCTTCATCAATTCAAATTAAATGTAACACGGTAAGTATAGGTAATTACATTAAAAATTCTTATATCTAATCATAATGAATCAAAAATTAAAAAAAATAATAAAAATGATCAAAGGACTTTCATGACTCAATAATAATATCTAAATTTTTGTTTATCTTATATATTAAATTCTGTCCTATAATCTACTAAAGTTAACGAATCTTTATGTCAATTTATAATAGATTTCTTTTATTAATTTAAAAATTTATTTAAGCACGTGTTTTTATAATTTGAAAATGAAAGGATTACTATACAACATCTGTTATACATTCATCTGTTACATTGGTTTTAAAAGTGAATAATACATTAAAATATATATTTAATATTTAATATTTATAGAATACTCACGCTTGCATTCGTGTGCATCTGTAGTTGTTGCACGACCCCAAGGAGCATCATTGTAAAAAGGTAGACATTCGTTGCAATCGGGTCCAGCTGTGTTGTGTTCACATCTGCAAATAAGTTTAGTTTTTATTGTAGCATTATTTATAATTTTAAAAATAGCACTAAGGTAGTAATTAACAGTAATTATTGGAATATTATAAAGATTCTAATTTAATTTTATTTGATTTTATTTCAGAATATAATTTTATTTTTTTAATTATTTGTTCTGTTGCAAATAAAATATTTTATTTAAGTTTATATTAAACGTGCAAAAAATAATTTTTTAATATATAATATATAATAACATATAAAAAAGAACACATAAACAGAAACCTTATAATAAAAGAAAAAAGAAAAAGAAGATGTCAATCGATTTTAATATGAATGCCAATGATATTAAATATTAAAATATAATGTATATGTGTACTAAAAGATAAATGTTATTACCGGCAAACTCTGCGAGTTCTACCATCGACACTGGTACTGTTTACACATTCTCCGGCGTGACCATTGCAGGCACATCTTGCACCAACTGCAACATCGGCTATTGCATAGTAATAAGATTTCAGCACCTGCGCATCGCCAAAAACTTCATCACCGAATGTGTTTAATCTATCCAGAGTAATTCTTAAAGCCGTCGCTTGCACCCATTCCTATAAAAAAATAAAGAAAATAATCCGCGTTATTATATTATTATATTTATTAGACAATTACTATAAATAACATAAAATCAACAATCAATAATAATGAAAAACTTTTAATTTTATAAAAAGATCTCAAGTCTTTTATATATATAAATTATATATTCTTTTGCCAATAATTTTAATTTCGATTATAATATAATGATGTAATTTTTTGATCTTATTAACAAAAAATTAATTTTAAAAGTTAATTTTTAACGTAAAATCCATAATTGCTGTATATTCAAATAAAATTAAATCTGTCTTTCTAAATCTTATTTACTAAATGAGAATATATTTGAGTTTAATTGTTGTTAATTGCCTGAAGTTCGGGGTTGGTTTCAAAGTAATAGGCGGAAGGTCGGCCCTCTAAAGTCGAAAAGGCAACGGTGCCTTTAGTGAGAGGAGAGATATCGGAAAACTCCGAGGTGCATAGCACGCGAGTGTCGTCACCACGAACTGTCTCTTTGGACTCGGGTAGTTCGTATGTATCCCGGCATGTTGCTGAATAAAATTGATAAGGCTCCCACGGTGACTTCTCGTTCTTCCGTTTGTAGATACCCCAGCTTTCCGGCCGAGGTGATTCAAACAGTACTCTGACATATGTTATGTCAAATGTCTTTCCTAAACAATATTAATGTTAAAGCGTTATAAATAAAAATAGCATTAAATAGTATAATATAATTAATAACACAATAAAAAACAGGATATATCTACAGTATATATAAAAAACAAATAATGAACTAATTATTTGATTAACATATTATTTTATTTATATGTAATATTTTAATCGCTTTATTTATCCTAAACATTAAAAATATCTTTTTTGTTATTAAGAATGACAAAAAAATGATTCAAATTAAAATTATTCTGTTTCGAGATATCTTTTGTTTAATATTTTATTCGAAATAGATCTAAATATCTCGCTTTTAAATCAATCATTATTAAAACTATTTTCAAATTATTTGTATCTCGAGAAATGTCGTTTTCTAAGATGCATTCGTGAAAATAAAGACAAAGACGAATGTTTTGGCGAATGAAACATGTAATGTACAGATTGTAATCTCGACCACTTTATATATTTTCCTTCTTTTTTCCTTCTTTATTTCGGAAAAAAAATTATTAAAAATTATTGATTAATATTCATAATTCAACAAAAAATTTATTCAAGTTTGTAAATTAAATTATATCAGAATAAAATTAAGTTAAATCAAAATAAGATTAGATTAATTTGTGTAATTTATATTGTCGTTTTATATATAGATAAAATATTGTTGACTGATTTTATATATATATATATATATATATAATATATATAACATGATAATATTTAACCGAATTAGTATATTGAATCAATTACTTTAAAATATATGGTCAAGAAATTTTATACATGAATTAAAACACGTATAAAACATTTATAAAAAACATTTTTAGTTTCTTTAAATTAAAATATTCCAACTACCAAATTAATGTCTTAGAAATCATAAATCGATTCAGAGCAAGAATAAAAATAAATATATTCGTAAGAATAATAATGAGCAAGAAAAATAAATTCGTAAGAATAAATTTGCCTCTAAAATTTACAAGAGATCTGGGACTTCTCCATCATCTCTATACACTATATGATTTATCTCATCGTGCATACATCCTCATAGATAAGGAAGTAGGATGAGAGAAAAAAAAGAGAGCGTGTGTATGAATGGCGGAGTAGAAGAGAGACACAAAGAAAGAGAGAGGAAACGCATAAGAACAGAAACTGAATGTCTCTTAGTATAGAAGCACAGAGATGTTCTACAGAGTGTCTTAGATGTTTTAGTGAGAAAACGCACCTAAATGTAGGGTGAGATTAACTTGGTTGGGATACTCGATGCCTTCATACATGGTATCCGATTGCCACCAGGTAGCATTATCATTATTATCATGATCAGTGAGGAAAGAGGCTGAGTGATCACCACGTCGGCAAATTTCGCACGACTTCTTGTGCACGCCCGTCTGCTTACAGAATTCAATAGGATGATCCTCACCACATGTGTTAGTCGCTTCCATAAGCACGTTGAAAGCCGCATTTTCGAATGGCGGTATACATCTCTAAAATATGCCAGTGTCATTAGAATAACGTTTACTTGGTTTTAATTTGATTTTGATCATCGCCTATATTTATTTTAATTTAATTTAATTTTAAAATATTACTTTACAATTATTATATACAATTTATTAAATTATATAATAATTATTTTATTAAATTCATATAAATAACAAATTCTCTAGTAGTATTATATTTGTATAATAACACTTTATAAAAATTTGTTATCGTTATTTAAGATTAAAATTAAATCATAATTAAATTTAATTAAAATTAAATATCAAAATTAAATACTAATAGACATTTAACGCGCAATAAAAAAATTTTATATTATATTAATATTTTAAATATTTAGAATAAGTTTATTATAAGAAAAGACTCGTTATTTTATAAATATAATATTATATTCTTTAATATCGATCAAATTTAATATTAAAATAATTAGATAATAACACATTTATTAAATACAAATAATCAAGTCTAACTTTTCGTAAATGGATTCATAATCGATCTAAATAGAAAATGATTCTATTTCTAATATAAACGATATATCTTGCAGACTTCGCAAACGATATCTTGTCCATTTATATCATGGCCCATACAATTATCTGCGGGTTCAAGCAACTCTTGGAACCTCACGATAACCTTCACATCCTCCCGAAATCCGAAGACACCGAATAGATTTAATTAATGACACAAAAAATATGGATAATCATTTACTCAAAAATGATCGAACGACGAGATGAATTTGAAAAAATAAGTGCCATATTAAGGATGAAATAATAATAAATATCTTTTGTCCATAAAAAAAATCATCAACATTACAACATTAAAAAATATAACATTATAACATTAAAAAATTAATATAATACTATATAAAGAGCTAGATCCCAGTGAACAGAATATCTAAAACTGATGCATAACGTAACTTGAAGATCTCTTTCAGAGTTCTTTATGAGATATCTTAAAGATATTTCTTAAAGAATTCTTAAAGTTATCTTATACGTCGATTTTAGACATTCTACTTATTGGAATAATAAAAAATTATGAAAATTAAATATAAATAACAAATATTATATAGAAAAATACATTGATGGTACATTACATAAAAAAAAGTATTCGCGCATCCTATTTTTACAATTTTTACGAAACAATTTTATGTCAAAAAGAAGTATTGCAAAATACTTCTGTCAAATATAAAAAAAATACTATGAAATTCTTTTTATTTTAAACAATATTCTTCAGTAAATATTCCTTCTATCTAGAGATTTTTTAATCTCTTCCTAATAATACTTCTTTTTTTTATCAATAAGTAAATTAATTTATCTCGCTAAGTTTATTCCAATTATTCCTAATTCTTATAAATAAATAAAAAATAAGAAATACAATTAAATTGAAATTAAAATTAATTTTCATTAATAGAAATTGAATAATTCTGTGTATATAACACAAAACAATTGAGACGAACCTGCGGCCTGCCGTTCTCATCATAACACTTATCCTCGTTGCGATTCTTGGGTAGCTGCAACCGATTAAACAGCTCCTCGGAAGGATCGGCCTCGGGATCGGCCAGGACGGCGCAGCATCCCACGAGTAACAACAACAGGCCCCATATCGCGCTCTCTCTCATTTTATCCTCGAGGAAAGAAAGTATCTCACTCCGGACACTCGGCGAAGCTTCTCTTCCCACTGTTCCGCGAAACCAGAGAAAGTGTCAGGATTATTTTTAAGGTTAGGCAGCGCGTCCATCGACGAAGATCACCGCCGTCGAGCGATCGTTATCGATCGTGCATCTCCTATCAACTTTTCGTAGATCGGATGCTGAACGCCGCGCGCGAGTTCACTCCGCGAGTGGACCATCGACGAGTAGCCGGACGGCGCGACGCCTGAATGTCTCTACCTCCCGGACTCCCCCGGCCCTTCTCGCATTCCCTTCCTAGCGGCTTCTCCTACGCGTTTATAGCACACCCACGCGGGACGTACACATATGCGGTATCTCAAATGATACACGAATCTGCGCAAATTGTAATACACTCCGAGCATACGTTTCGTTCAAATATTCACGATAATATAATCATTTTTATATAATTTATAAAATATTTTTTTTTAAAGACTATATTTCTCGACTCTTTCAATCGATGAAGTTTTGCAATAGGATCAATAATCAATAATGGAAAATTTAACACGTAACGTTTCTATCTCTGAAATCTTTGGATTTTTTTCGAAACAAAATTGTGAAATTTATTTGCTACTGGATAAGAGTAATAGAAATTATATTACTTGAAATCAATTTCTGGTTTCTCCAATGTTACATAATTTATTTGTCTAATGTGAATAGATATAGATAGAAAGAGAAAATAAGATTTTTTTAAATTGCATATTTGAAGATTTTTGTCATCTTTTTTCTTTATCTCATATTTTTTCCCCAATTCATAAATCTGTTTCAACTTTCATCATTCAAAATTATCAAATATCAAATTTTAGAAATTTTTAAAACAGCTCTTTTTGAGATTTCAATTGACATCATTTCTTGTCAAAATTACTTATTTTGATATTTTGTTGATTTTTCGAAATTATTAAAATTTTAGTGGGCAATTGATATAGCACAGTTACTGACAATTGATAAATTTATAAGTAGTTTTATTGTTTATAAATTATAACAATTCTTACAATTATTGATATCAATTTTTAAAAATTTGAAACACAATTTCTAGAATTTTATATTTAACTTCAATGCAAAAATCAGAATTCATGAAAATTAACGCAATATCAAGAAAATATATTACTAGTATTCCAAGAATGATGACAAAAATTAGGAATTTGAATAGTGGAATTTATAAAAGTATTTAAAAATCAATAAAGTATCCTGAAGAATATAATTAACAAAGTAGTTGCATTACCTAAAATTTTAAGAATTTCTAACATTTCAAATTCAGAATTTAAAAAGATAAGCCAAAGATAGGTAAAATCAAAAAGTTACATTTTGGGCGTTGTAATTCCAAAATTTTATTTATGCTTTAATTTTTATACTCTAATTTTCATATTTAAAAAATTTTAATTTGTATTTAATTTCTAATCTTTTATGTATACTTAACATTTTATAAATTTATTATAATATTCTTTTAATAAGCGTGCAATATTACATAATTACAATTTCTATAGATACATATCAAATTTTCAGAGATAAACTTTAACATTAAAGCAAAATTGAAACTTCATATAAATAAAACATACAAAACAAGATAAAAAATTAAATTTACATTAAATTTACAAATTAGGAAATAATTCACATATTTAACTTACTTTTTTATTACATTGTGTTCTTTAGCTTTAGCTAAATTATAAAAATTATCATTATCATTATTAAACAAAAATAAATATAATATTCATCGAATAATACTACATACATTATCACTATTATAATCACTTAACTCATCCTAAGCACTTTGTCAAAGTGTTTTTGAAGTTCCTTCAAACTTTCAAAAATATCTTCCTTGGGCACTGTGCCTTCATTGACTTCGTTGTGATGCTTTATTAATAAAGCATTCCAACCAGCGCTTTTTGCTCCAAAATAATCATTATCCACTCTGTCGCCAATATGCATTGCTTCTTGAGGTAATATTTCCTTCTCTTGAAAATATTTTACTAGTCTTAATGCCTCCTCAAATATTGGTAAACTCGGCTTTTCGATTCCAAGATCATATGAAGTTAAAACAAAGGAGAAATACCGGCGAATTTGTGTATCTTCAAGAATTGATTCTAAACGTTGATCAAAATTCGAGATAACTCCTAACACAACATTCCTCTTTTGTAAGAAGTCAAGTAAATCTATGGTACCAGGGTATTTGCACCAGCATCTGCTGGTGCCGTAGCAACTTATTAGACTATCAGCAACCTAGAAAAGAAAATGATGAATAAGATCAAAACTCTTTATATTAATAATAAAATAACAAATGGCAATAGATTAATAAAAAATGAAATACATAAAAGAAAATAATTAAATAGGACAGTTTAATACAACTAGCTAAGCCAAGATGTGATTTTATTTATACAATTAAACTCAAATATTTTATTTCTGCATAAATATAATCAGTATTATAGTTCAAAATTATGTAATATTTATTATACACTTAATTGTTAATATTTTTTGTTTTTGTTATTTATTATCATTTACATAATTATCAATTAAAAAAAAATCACTTTGTCCAATGTATCTATCGACACGGAGGTATGTTGTTCCTTAAACACATTATGTACAATTGTTCTCCACCAGTTCCTCCATCCCAGTCCGGTGTGCTTGCCATATATCGGGTGTTCCTTACTAAGTTGCATAAAATTGTTCTTGAAACTTCGCGCCAATTTTCTTGGCTCGACAAATAAACCATGCTGAGACCCGATCTCGACATAATGCTCCTCGAGCTTGGTCATTAGCAGCGTACCGGTCACATCGAAGGTCACAAGACGTGGTCGAATACGACTAATCATATTTTTAACGAGTTTTAATGCTCCGCAATAATCTCGGATAATTAGACACTCTACAAAAACAATTGGCGAGAAGGAAACAGTTACGACTGTGAAAATGTTCTCACACACACACCACCATGCACGCAACATATGTACGCAGATTAATCGATGGCGTCGACATCTCACGAGCAAAGAATAAAACATAAATTCGAATACTAAGTGTCAGTCATAAAATAAAATTCAAGACTATTCCTGGTAGTTCTCAATATATAAGATGTCCCAGATTTCTCATTGCAGTCGTTAATGGCAAACTTCCGATATCATTTTGAAATGATATTTCGAGATAACTTCCAACACGGTTTTTACAAGTAGATAAAGTGATGCCAAGATATTTATATGAATATCTGATGTACACAGTAGATTAAGATTAGACAACCTGCAGAAAAAAATAATGAAGTCAAAATGAATTGGATTAATAAAAAATATACATATATATATATATATATA